TTGGAGAGATGCACACCCCTAGTACATATGTATAATTTCAGTGAATATACATTTCTGAACTGATTTAATGAAGAATTATCATAGATGGAAGATGGATTCTAATTCAAAATGTCTTGCTTTTATTTTCATTTTCATTCATCTTTAGATGTGAAGCCTCTCTATAGGATCACCTAAGCTAGGCACGCTCCAATTCCTTGTCTGTCAGGCGATTCCGAAAAATTTTCGAAATTCAGAATGAGGCAGAATTAGGGCTTAAAAGCTATTTTGAGGCCATAGCGACCTTCGACTTAAAAGTGTCACCAATTCAGTTTCCAACCAACTGTGAAATATGACCGACAATCCAAAACTATTGTGCATATTTTTTTACCATAACAGTCAGTTCAAAATGTATCCCTTTATCATGCTTGTGCTCATTAATTCGTTATCAGCTTCCCGGGACTTACTCAGACGGACAAAACATTCATCCACAAATCACACAAGCGATCCTGGATTTTCTTCTCCCTTCACAGACAACATCGACGATCCCACCGGAAACTTCCGAGGCACGCCCCTCACTGGCTGGAAGGTCTTTCTGCTTCTGCTGTGCGCTCTGCTGGGAATCGTGGTGTGCGCCGTGGTGGGGGCTGTCGTCTTTCAAAAGAGACAGGAGAGGAACAAGAGGTTTTACTGAGGAGGGAGAGAAGAAATAAGAGCCTTCTCAGAGAGGTGTTTGCTGTGGAATGAACTGTTTCCAGATGACAGATTGAGCACATTCAATGTGAATTTTTTTCTAAAGATTGTACAAATGTTTATATCTCTGAAGCACTGCGTTGGGAGTGGATTATGCTAACTTGTGATGTTAGTTAGAAGGTGCAGAACTAATGGCGACCATTAACAGTGACCCTGATCAATGCTGTGTCTGTGTTCATTAATTGCAGGGTTAGAATAGACTTGCTGTCCTTTTGAACTCGTGTGAGTTTTTCAGTATCTTAAGATTGCGTTACGACCTGCTTATTGGTTAAACAGTTGTCGTCAGCCCTTTTCAGCTTTCTCTGCTGCAGATGTGATGCTACAAAATGGTAATTTAGATCATTTTTGTCTTCCAAAATGTTACCTGATTATTTATTGGAACAAGAAAATAGCTCCACACACAAACAAAACTAGATAGAACAACAACATGAAGTGTCAAGTATCCAAATGAAAGCAGCATTATGCAAGAGTTGATATTTATTGCAATTTGCAACCCCAATACACCTACACACTGCTGTTGTAAATATGGACAGCTGTACACGTACATTTGTTGTGATGCTCGTTTCCGCTTCACATTAGCAGTCCCCTCGCCCCGGGCCTGAAATCTTCCTCCTCCAGACGGTCCAAAGCTCCTGTTCTTCCAGTGAAAACACCAACACAACCCCCCCTTCTCTGAAGAGCCAGTCCTGGCAACACGGCTAACTGGGCTATCTAAGTTACAGTTTAGCTGCTAAGTTAGCGGTTGACTTACTTTAGCTATGAGAAAAGCTTTCTGTAAAGCTCTGACAGTTCCAGGCCGAGGAGGACATCATGTGAAAATATAATACATTCTCACCAAAAGCAGTGACATAGTTGGTGGTGCGTGACTAACAGTGTACAGCATTACCGTTATCTAAAGGTTACATAGTGGAAGAACAGGCGTACGGGGCGCAGAGTGGCAACGACAGGCGCCAGTCACCCTATTACAAGTCAGTGTAGCATTGAAAGGATTTTGAAGCTGTAATTTTAATGTAGAGGTGTTACATAATGTTGCTTTAAGGCAAGAGCATTCTGTGTTTTAACCCATGGAGAGAGTTGTATTTGTACATTTACCCTTCTGTGTTACTGTCGCTCTCATTCTGACATTTAGGAAAAACATTTTTTAAATTGAGTTACAATGCGCTCTCCGCGTATATTTTCTAGAGGATAAATTATGGAAAGGGTATCAAACAAAAGGACTGAGTGCTCAATTATCCTAAAGTCTATTGTTTTATTTTTAATTCTCAATATGAAAAACCATATGTGCCCGTCCACAGCTCAGCATCAAAGATTCACCTGTCAGCACTATCTCTGCGTCATTGGATGTTTTTGTTTTTGCTAACACGCTTGCTCAGCTGTGTTACACTCTCTCTGTTCATACTACCCAATCTGCTCTTCCGTTTATTTCAGACTGATAACGGGATAAGCACTGGGCCACTTCACTTAAAATACAGACCACTAGGGCTGCAACACACGACTATTTAATCTGTCAATTTGGTGCTCAGGTAATCAGTTATTTTGGTCTAGAGAATGTCAAACATTTGAAAAAACAATTTCCCAAAGACATATATATTTAAAGTGCTTGTCTTGTCCAACTGACAAATTGACACCCAAGAATACCAGGAAATATTCATATTTTGAGAGGCTGGAACCACAGTTGTTGACATGGTTGCTTGATAAACGATTTAATGATAAACTCATCTTAAAGCGTTTTCAGATCAATTTTCTGTCGATCGAAAAAGTATTCATCAACTCATCAGTTCAGCTCCACTGACATAAAAATTTCACACACTGATTGTAAAACTGATATGCATCAAGCTTTGGGTGTCTTACTACCCAGTCCTACCAATATCGCATACCACATAGGGGTGTTAGAAAATGTTGAAATTTTTTGTATGACAATATTTTGTTTTGTGATTTTGTATGGAATTTTGAGTTTGAACCCCCAACTGTTGGATATCAGTGCTGTAAACTGAGGGCTGATGGTTGCATAACGATTTTTTCAATACCATGACAGTTTTCGTTATAATTATAATTTTTTTTTTTTCAATTGCAATATATCGCCTTGTTTACAGCACCGTAATATATCACAATATATTGAATCGTAACCCCAGTATTAAGATACGTATTGTATTGCAAGATTCTTGCCAATTCACAGCCCTAATACCACATGGGTAGAAAATGTAGAGCTTTACTAGCAGATTGGCAAGTTGCTACTGTGTCATGTCAGAGATAAAGAGGTTTAGATTCGGACTGTGAGAGCAATACGATATGTATCACGATACAGCGGTTCCCATTCAATATATTGCAATACTGTAAGCAAGTATTGCATTTCTTTTTTTTTTTTTTTTTATCTATTTTTTTGAGAAACGATGATATAAAGAACACACTATTATACACATAAAATCTGAGTTTTCTTAAGCAACCAGGACAGTGGGATCTGTGTTTTTGAGAATCTATACAATATCACAAAAACAAAATATCGTGATACGATTTTTTTTTTTTTTTCTTCCATTCCTATTATAGATTGAGTAGCAATTCAGCATTGATATGAAAATATTCTGATTGTCCTTCAATCATTATCTCTGTAAAGGAAAATGGTTTAACAGCATGTTCTTGACATTCAGAGTAACATTTTGCATCATACTATTACATACATTTCAAATCTGGCATATGAATGAAGTGAAGCTCTTACTACTTAACCCAACTTCTCCAGAGTTTAAAACAACAGGATAACGCCACTTAAAAGTGCCCAAGTTGATGGATCTTGAAAACTGAACAACCTCAATCCTTTACGCTGAAATATTTGTTTTTTTCTCTTTTCCCTGCAGGTTCTTTTGAGCAGCATTTTGGGATTTTATCCAGAATATGCCTTTGTTGTTTTTCTAAGTGTTTGTTTTTGGTTAACTATGCGAAATTGTGGTAAAAAGTTCAATGAAATTACTCAACATAATGAATATTAGAATGATTAACCGCTACATAAAACAACTGTGATTAATAAATACGTGCAGTGTTAATTATGAAGCTCTTTCAAACTTGCAGAATATGAGTTTTTGAACTTTAAATTAGATGAATGGATAGCTTGAAGGCACATTTCCACTGGCAGGCATCTGATTTCTTTTAATATCATGTTTATTTGTTGTTGGTTTTACTTCAGCTTCCATGTCCACACTCTTCCTGTTTGGTTCTGTCCTTCCATCCATAAACAACATGTAACAAATATGCTAAAAGTAAAACTAAGGATTTGATGACACACTTTTCTTTTTATATCGTTGCTGAAATGCAGATTGTCTCTTTTTTTTGCTCTTCTGCTTGAATCAGCGTTTTTATCACTCTTCCTTTGTTCTTCAAACCGTTCTGTAATTGTTTCTGCCACTTCAGTCAGTTTTGTGATGAGACTTGAAGCAGCTCCTCTCATCAGGAATAATGTATTAAAATGAAAAAAGAAACAGTCTGACTGTGAATTGTGTTGTATTGACAAGTTTTAACTGCGATTTAATTAAATTATATTCAAGAAATCCCCCCAGGTATTCATGCAGTACATGCAAGTTGCTTAAATGTCAGAGAATCACTTAAAGACCAACTGTAAACTGTGGAGTTCTGTACTGCTTACTCCTCCGATTTTATATAGAACCTATATAACTCAAATGTTGTGATTAGATTACATTAATCTAAAATTACAAGGGGAGCTATAACGTATATAAGTGTCCCACCCTCACTAACAGGAAACAGGAACAGAAAAAGTGTCAACTATCACATAATTTCTCCTTCCTGTAGTGTATGTAGCAAGAAAATCCCAATGTGACCTTCTGGGGGTTCTGTGACCAGTTGTAATTTTCATCCAGTTTTTATTTAAATGCTTTCAGTTCAGTTTAGCAGTCAGTTAAGTGTGTTTCAGTTTAGTTTTGCAATACACAATATAGTTCATTTAGTTTTGGAATTTATAACTTCTAGATTTTTAGTTTAGGTTTAGTTGACCATGAGAACCTTGCCTGCTCAACATCTTTATCTCCCACTGTCTCAACCTATCTATATACTCTCCCATTTTTCTGTCCCCTAACTTCTCCTCCCTTTCTGCTTCTGTTCTCCATGTCTCTTTATGTATTGTTTAGTAGCCTCTTTTGGTTTGTTTTTGTTTTTTGCTGCCACCCTCTGGTATAACTTACCATTACAGGCGCCAGGCTAAAATCTTATATATATATACTATCTATATATATATATATTTACAAATCTAAATGAGCTACATTAAAATCATTCGTATTTTAAAAAAAGTAACACTGATCCTAAAATGTTGTTGTTTAAATGAAAATCTCCAAGTTGCAATTACAAAAAAAACAACAAATCAGCATTGATGATGGTGGTTGAGTCAGCTGATGGACAGCGTGCTGGATGCTTTCCAAGTTAAATGAAAGGCTTTAACCATGTTTGTTTTAAATTGAAACTTCCAATTTTAACTTCAATCCTTCAACAAAAATTTCAGGAGCCTTCAGGTAACGTAATCATATGTACAGTGACTTTACTGTAGTACCACCGGATTCTAGTCCAGTCTGTAGTGTTCAGCTAAAATTCTTTGTCTTTTTTCAGAGACAATCATTTAGCTCTGTCCTACAGCCCCAGAAATCAGTGAAAATGATGGAACACTGTTCTGTCTAACACCCTGCTATCAAGACACATAAAAGCAGAAATCAACTCGGCGTCTTGAGAGTTTGAAGTAATTTCCAAACAGGTTGAGAGCTCAAGACAGTCTACACCCCGTCTCAGACACATCCACTATCCTGTCACTCTCCATTACTTGTGCCTCATCTGCTGAAACCTGTGTAACCTCTGTTAAATCTTCAACAAGATTTAAGTCAATAAAAGGAACAGCCTGAGTTGAAGGAAGTCCCTTTTGCCTGCAAACGTCTGATCTCTTGTGACGCTGGAGTCATTGTCACTGCTTGGGGTTCTATGCAGGAATGAAACTGACGACCTTACTAACTGACACCGAACCCGCCAGACGAGTGTGACATAGGTGAGGAATGCTGAAGAATCAATCCGACAGATACTAAAGTTAATACTACATTTAACTAGTGTTTTTATATTCTGTATTTTTTTATATATACTTCCTCCACCACAATATAGAACATATACAATATAGACCTCAGATAGTGACATTTTAGCTTTTATACCTTTATTTAACCAGATAAGTCAATTCTTTCTGCTTTATCCTTAAATTGGACCCCCATTAGCTTCCTCAAAGCTTTCCTGGGATTCACACAAAAACAATAACAACAAAAACATACATTTAAAATCACAGTTATCAGTAAATCAGGATAACAGAAAGCAAGCTAAATATAAAACTCAGACTCAAGTGAAATGATTTTACATATGAAAACAATTAAACAGGAAGCCTACAATGGAAACAACGACAATAAATATACCGTCAACAACCAAAAAGGTTCCAAAACAGCAATAGCAATTGTTCATGGACTTGGTACTGCCAGATGACGTATACCCATGACAAGAGCCAGTGTATATTAATTTCTCACAAAAGAAGTGTGGTGTATTCCAGATGACACTTAAACATACGGAAGACTAGATTTCAGTTTAGCCTCTACAGTAAGTCTAATTGAGAACTAGTTCTCATTTACAGTGACGACCTGGCCAAGAGGCAGCAACAGGAGGCAAGCTGATACCACAAGTAAAACATGCATACATACATAGCTAACGCAAAAATCTATGCAGTTAAACACAGCACAATATATACAGTATGTGCACAACAAAGACTGAAATACTGTGTTACCTGTGAGAGGCAGGTTCAAAAGCTGGTGCAGTGATCAGAAACTAACGCGTGTACTGAGTTATTAAAGGAGGATAATGGAATAGCGACTTTTGCAGCTGGTTCCAGTCACTGGGAGCGGCAGACTGAAAAGAGCGAGGAGGTATGGACTTTAGGGGTGTCCAAAGGTAAGAATTTTCTAGACTGTAGGAGTCCTAATGTTTGAGTCTTGAGCCTTAATTAGCGTGATTAGCAGGACCCTTCTGAGGACTGTGTGGGCATGCACAAACTGCTTAATTGACCCTGCTATCAGTCCGTATTTTGCACCTGTTAGGGTGGGAGAAGTTACACCCACAGTATGTGGTTCTCATTGGTTCTTAAAGTTCAGTGACCTCCAGAAATACCCGCATGGCTCCGCCCACCCTAGCAGAGGCATAATTAGCCATACCTGTGTTGGTATGCTTATACTGACAAAATCATCTTGACTCAGAGACTCATTGTTTATGTGCAGCAGGTCTTTGTCACAGTAGGAAAATCACAGGTGTAAATGTTAATGATGAATTCCATTAGCTGCTTCAGTGTCAGGGTGATGTACATGTGCATGCTGGATCACCATTGTGACTTACTGGGAAACTAGAATTGAAAAGAGCCATTGTTAATGTAAATAATTATGGGCTTTTTTTTTACAAGGATGAATCAAAATATCTGCTGCGAAAAAGGACAGAACTAGAAGCTACAAGACAACGTTAGCAACCCTGCGATCAGGGCCTTAAAGACAGTATTTTCCGTAAACTGAGCTCACTGTTGTCTCTTGTCTCTTGTCTTGTCTTGTCTCTTACCTTCTTTGCCCACAGAGTGTCAGTAGAGGTCTACTGATGTCTCTTGAGTGGCAGGTACAGCTATAAAAATCTCTAATACAATTTTTGCAGCATTGCAGTCTAACCTCTCTCTCTCACACACACTCTCTCCACTGCTCCCTCTTTATCAACCCTCTTTATATATATCTGTTTCTTTCTCTCGCTCTTCTCTTCCCTGTCCCGGTTTGTTACTTTCCCTGTACTTCCCTTTCTCCCTCCTTTTCTGTCTGTCTCTCTTTGTCAGTCTCCCTCCGTACTTACAGTACACCCCCCTCTCTGCAGCAGTTTATGATTTTATCCAGGGCGAATGTGGCATGTTAGAACAAACAAATATATTCATTTACCATTTACCATACAGGACAGCTCCAGCTGGCCACAAGTATGGGTATGGTAAAATATAGAGTAGTTTGTGTATGTAGTGTGTTTGTGTTTGAGGGCGGTCTGTCTCTCTCTCTTCCTGCTGCAGTCTCCTGGTGTCATACATCATGTCCAGCTGGGCTCTTTGCCATTGCCAGTGTCTATATTCTATTAAATAAACAACCGGTGCAACATAGTATATTGTATACACTGTGATGCCTACATAGTGTGTTTGCGTGTGTGTGTGTGTGTGTGCAGTTTCACACATTATCACCCTCTCCCTACTGTTTATACAGCATCCAGCTGTGTCTAAAGCCATACATTATATTTGTTTTACAGTAAGCAGCATCCACTAAAAACATTCATGTTAAGCAGGAGCCGTGTAACCTAAAGTCATGTGAACCCCCACTGAGATACAAAGTGAAATCCTTTTATTCAGTATGCACTCAAGCAAATGTGACATGGATATGTATCATGACTTCTAATGGTCCCATTAGAGGTTTCTCGTATAATGCCCCCTAATAGTGGCTGTAATGATGGCAGCAGTTCCTAGGCAGCTACATACAGTTCCAAATGGCCAAGAAATAATATGACAGACCAAAGATGCAAATATAAATATCCTGCAATATTAATACATACAATATATAATACTGCACCACATAAAATAATATAATAAGTGGACTCAACCACTCTGAAATGAAGACAAACGGTCGGTAGGAAGGTACACTTGTGGAATTGAAATATATGTTATCATAAGATCAGATGTTAAAGCAATTATTCTTACATTCCCATTACTGCATCTGAGAAATGTTCATGCCATACTGCTAACACTGCTACCTGCTGACACAAGACACTTAACTCATCACACAAATCCAATTTTCTCAAATGCAATTTTTGTATGTATTAGTTGTCTTCACTTTATTCATAATCATTTGGGTTTCCAACATTGACAGTATATATATACTGGCGGGAAGTCACAGAAACGACATAGAGAATCCGGTCAATTTTTAAAATGAAATACTGCGTGGAGACTCCGGATTGAATTTTGACACTGCATCAACATAGTGGCAACAGGGCCAGAAGTCAGTCAGACAAAGGCAAGTTAGAGAATATCTGAAGCATAGAGACACTCAGTTTTGTACCCTTTTAAGGATAAAGTTCACACGTAAACAACGTCAGGCAAGCAACATGCTCTGAAGATGGTCTGCTTCTGAAGCACTCTTGTGGGATTTGAAGACTTCAATTTCGGGGTCATTCTGCTCAGTGAAGCTCAAACATCCAAGTGTAGGAGCAAGAAGCGAAACATATTTATGAGTGGAACGGGACTGGAGAAGACTGGGCGGGTGGAAAGTGTAGTAATAAATATGTCAATATTCTCGAATTGATCTGTGGGTTTAAGTTGAGATATTTAAATACACATCACCTAACCAGGCTGTTCCTCACTGCACCGCCACCATGGCACAGACAAGATTTGTGAGTTAA